TGGTCAATGTCCTCCTGTGGTATCTTATTCCAAGCAACCACCAACTCCTCTCGAAGTGCTTCTAGAGTCTGAGGAGGACGTTGCAAATTGAGCAATCTCCTACCCATCATATCCCACACGTGTTCAATTGGGGATAAGTCGGGAGATCTTGGTGGCCATGGTAACAATGTGACATCATTATGTTGAAAGAAGCCTATTGTGACTCTTGCAACATGTGGTCGGGCATTGTCTTGTTGGAAAGTTCGATCTGCCAGGATGTCAAGATAGGGTAAAAGATGGGGTTCTAGAACTTCGTGGATATAACGCTGTGCGTTCGTGTTACCTCTGATGAAGATTAAAGGTGACCTGGAACTATAAGCTATAGCACCCCAAACCGTAACTCCAACAGTGTGATGAACATGTCTTTCAACAAAAAACTGTGGATTCCTCCTTTCACCACGTCGCCTTCTAACCCTGGCACGACCATCGTGCATGCCTAAACAAAATAGAGACTCGTCACTAAAGACAATACTGTTCCATTCCTGATCCCAGAGTGACCGTTGTCTGCACCACTCAAGGCGATTACGTCGGAGGACCCAGTGTGGCCGGTATGAAAACAAGCCAAAACTTCTCATTCGTCGGTAAACACTTCGCATGCCAATAGGTCTTCCGTGTTCTGCAAACCATTCATTTGCAATGGAGCTGGTAGTGGAGAAGCGGTCCCTTAAGGCCAATAATCTTAGGCGGCGATCTTTACGGTCTATTCTACGGCGGCGTCCAGTGCCCCTTGCTCTTTGCGCACGGCCTTCTCGAAGCCATGCCTGACAACATCTAACCACAGTGTCTACACTTCTTTGCACTCTAACTGCAATTGCCCGAAAAGAAAGTCCAGCTTCCCGAAGTCCCACTATACGGCCCCTATCAAAGTCACTAAGTTGACGAAATCGTACGGGTCTCCGTACTCTAGGCAGCGTAACCTATCGTAAAGGATATCAAGAACCAAAATCCGCCAACGTTGATTCTTTACTGCGGCTGAAATATTAATTTTTAGAGCATTAGTGAATTAAAAAAAAGCAGTATAAAAACCGGAATGTCCAACTCATAAGTCTGAAAATTTTTTCACTTGTTATTTACAGTAAGATAAATACATTCACCAATTTTTATTAAAATAAAACCATTTAAACTGGATTTTCGGATTTATATGTCACTTAGTATACTTCCTCCTGAATTGGCGTGGGAAGTAGAAATGATTATCTCTCGCACAATACAAACAGAATGCCTATTTTCTCTCCATCCCACTTAATAAAACAGGATTTTTTGCGAAGCAGTCTCTTCGGAAACTGTGCCTCTCTGGCACCTGAAAAGTCAGAGAAGAATAAATATTGGCAATGAAGTTATACAGAGAAAGACTCAAACTATTATAAAGGTAATTCTGGAGGCACTTTCGCAATGAAGGCTCAAAGCCAGAGAAGCTCTGGTAGCTGTGTAAAGGAAATATCAAAACAACGCTCCTTTTCAGAGTAAACGTCTCTGGAGCAAACGGCGGTAATTATAAAAGTTACAGAGTAGGATTTTCTATGAAAAAGCGACTTTCCTCCTGCTTTCCAGTCTCATGCATTCCTCAAAGGGATTAGATATACGCATATGAGGAAAGTGCGGTGAAACCCTGAAGTATGTAGATAGAAGTACTCCATTTAGAATAGTAGCAATATAATAACTGGTATTTTAACAATGGGTATTTGATTCTCTTACCAGGCCAATTGGCGAGGAAGCATTGTTATAATCAGCATCTTCATAATGGCCATTTTTTTTAAGACCGTCTGTAAAATATCGCTCTTCGAAAACATTTTGATTTTTGGCTCAGCTATGTTAAAAGAAGCAGTTACCCTTTTATCCTTTTAATAAAAAAGGTGTATCTGAGGAGTAAATAATAAGAGAGGATTTTTATGTAAAAGTAATCAAGCTAACAGGAAGGAATATTTATTTTAAAGCTATCACTGATGTATCATTTTTTTTTTTGTAAACATCACAAGATATATCTCTAGCGACTCACTGGCGGCGCATTAGAATAACTTTTCGCACTTCAATATGTACTTTTATATCCCCTTATATTTTAATTTAATTATTTGAAGTATAATTTTTCCGTGAAAAGTCAAAAGCCTGTAGGTAAAGGTTTAAGCCTATGTTCATAGAAACTTCCCTTTATAGCTATTACTTATATATACAGGGTGACTTTGAAGTTGAGTCATTAATTTTCAGATAATGATTGTAGAAGGAAGATAAACCAAAATATGTGTGTAAAAATAAAAAAAAAATAAAAAAAAATTTTTACCTTGTTTTATAAAGTATCCTCCCGACAAGTATTTCAGTGCGGACCTGTATTTGATCGTGAGGTCCCCTCTGAGGTCTTAAGTCACCTGATTCACGAGCCCGTTGTACTACATTAACAAAGGCACGAGGGGTTGGTTGCACTCGATTGGGAAACCGATCCGCATAAACATGTGCCATTTTTTATTTCGTTTGAGCCACGCAACAGATACCACCATTCACTGACACTGATTGTATACAAATGACTGAGATACTTGTAAAAACATCGTTCCAAATTCTTTCGCTTTTTTGTTTCCGATGCGATGAACCGATACGGCGGATTATATCCGTTGTCGCCAAACACGACCACATAATATTGTTATTGAGACAGGGCGGTACTCAAACTTCCAAAGGGCTATAACTTTGTTACTTTAATTTTACCAGGAAAATGGTAAAGGAAAAAAACATTTCTTTTGATCAGATCTACTCACTGTTAAAATAAATGACTCAACTTCGAAGTCACCCTGTATATATATATACTTTGAAGTTGAGTCATTAATTTTCAGATAATGATTGTAGAAGGAAGATAAACCAAAATATGTGTGTAAAAATTAAAAAAAAATTAAAAAAAAAATGTTACCTTGTTTAATAAAGTATCCTCCCGACAAGTACTTCAGTGCGGACCTGTATTTGATCGTGCGGTCTTGGAGCAGCATGCCCTCACCTGTGAGGTCTTAAGTCACCTGATTCACGAGCCCTTTGTACTACATTAACAAAGGCACGAGGGCTTGGTTGCACTCGATTGGGAAACCGATTCGCGTAAATCCGTGATGCATCCGGGAGCATTTTGTAAAGACTGCCCCCCCGTAAATAAGAATCATGTCCACAAGTTCAGCATTTTCGTAAACATGTGCCATTTTTGATTTCGTTTGAACCACGCAACACACTACTATTCACTTACGCGTTATCGACTGACGAAAAACATCGTGATAAACGTTTCAAATTCTTTCGCTTTTTTGTTTCCGATGCGATGAACCGGTCAGGCGGATTATATCCGTTGTCGCCAAACACGAGCATATAATAGGCAGGGCGGTACTCAAACTTCCAAAGGGCTATAACTTTGTTACTTTAATTTTTATATATATATATACAGGGTGACTTCGAAGTTGAGTCATTTATTTTAACAGTGAGTAGATCTGATCAAAAGAAATGTTTTTTTCCTTTACCATTTTTCTGGTAAAATTAAAGTAACAAAGTTATAGCCCTTTGGAAGTTTGAGTACCGCCCTGCCTATTATATGCTCGTGTTTGGCGACAACGGATATAATCCGCCTGACCGGTTCATCGCATCGGAAACAAAAAAGCGAAAGAATTTGAAACGTTTATCACGATGTTTTTCGTCAGTCGATAAATCCTGAGTGAATAGTAGTGTGTTGCGTGGCTCAAACGAAATCAAAAATGGCACATGTTTACGAAAATGCTGAACTTGTGGACATGATTCTTATTTACGGGGGGCAGTCTTTACAAAATGCTCCCGGATGCATCACGGATTTATGCGAATCGGTTTCCCAATCGAGTGCAACCAACCCCTCGTGCCTTTGTTAATGTAGTGCAAAGGGCTCGTGAATCAGGTGACTTAAGACCTCACAGGTGAGGGCATGCTGCTCCAAGACCGCACGATCAAATACAGGTCCGCACTGAAATACTTGTCGGGAGGATACTTTATTAAACAAGGTAACATTTTTTTTTAATTTTTTTTTTTATTTTTACACACATATTTTCGTTTATCTTCCTTCTACAATCATTATCTGAAAATTAATGACTCAACTTCAAAGTCACCCTGTATATATATATATATATATATTATAACTATTTGGAGTACGAGTTTTAGCACATCATCATTAAGGAACACGCACTGTATATTATATAATATTTCCCTGAACATAACTTAGTGTCAACTTTGATCCTAGATTTTTTTGTGTGCGGTTCTTCGGTTATACAGGGCAACCCATTTCAATCTCCCCACGAAAATATTTCAAAAACTAACCACTCTAGAAGAAAAGTTTCAAACAAAAGTTATGGGGTTCCGAGAGGACAAAATGATGGTGACCCTGACAATGATCTTGACCACGTCTGTCAAGGTCATTCCAAGATCAATCGAATATTTTCAACTGAAGTATTCAAAGTAAGGGTCACTTGACCTTGCAGGTTGTAGTTAAGGTCGCCCTTGAGTGACTACCGCAAGTCTCACAACTGAGCTGTTGAACATTTTTGGTAGAGCAAATTGATCATAGTCAGTTCTGGTTTGAAATAGGGAGGTTTTATTTAAAAACATTCACTTGATCTTGACCTTGAAGCTCGTGGTTAAAGTCACCATTATTTTGCCACTTACAAACCCTAAAACCTTTGTTCGAGACGTATTCTTTTGAATGCCTAGTTTTCGAAATACTTTGATGGGGAGTTTAAAATGGGACATTCGGTATAGTGTGCTGAGATGCTCAAGTCTCTTATCATTGTAGCGATATTATGCCTTATGGTATAATGCATCGTTGAATGTTTACTGTTATCAAAAAGTTATCCGTTGCTTCCTAGTTCGCCACTAGACTAGGTCATCAAAACGAAGTTGCTTGTAGAGATAGGCAGCTTGATGCAACCTAACCGCGAGTCGTTAGTGTGTATAAGAGGGCAAATGTTGGCAACGATAATGAGGCTAACCATTACTTTTATCGCTCTCCCCTGCTGGAAATTGCTGTGATGTGGTGTATGTAACGCCCCTTGTCGGATATTTCCATGCAGATGCACTTTTCTAGAAACACTAGAATTAATTTCAAAAGCCATGTACATGTACAAAATTCCCAAAATTGAATGTTCGCTTTCCCTTTTTGTGATCCACTGTTTCATGTTTGTTAAGGTACCTTTTGGGTATATCATGAACTCCATAAAAATATAAAATGTTTGCCATTGCTCATTGACGTAGGATGTAAAACTAAATATCAAATTTGTGTTGTGTTGTCTTCTTTCTGGTACTGCCAACTCATGAATTATACAAAATTTTTAATGAATATTCTCCAATAATAACACCAAGATCAAACAGCTGTTCGATAAAAAACATTTTTAGGAAAGCAAAAAGAACGTATTTGGATTCACTGACATGACAATGACTTGAATATATATAATCAAAATCCCATTTACCCTAAAGGGTGTAGGGTTAAAAATGACTTGAATATATCTTGTAAAACATTGAGAAAAAATAGCAACAATTTCTCAATGTTATTGAAGCTCCTGATGAAGATGGCAAAGTCCATTGAAAGCTAGAGATTAATAATGTATAAAGAGTCCTCTGTGCTGCTTGAATTTGTCGAAGTTCCCAACAAAAGGCGGAAGCTATATTTTTCACCTAACTTTTTTTTTTTGCGGTCTGCTACAACGTCTCCTCATGTGTTTCAGTCTCTGGGGATTACCACGTCTCAAGTTATATATATATATATACAATTACTTGTTGAAATTGGCAAAACTTTTAGGCTTAAGTTGACTCTGTTGACGATAAAATCAAGCTTTCGGCATTCTCTATAGAGCCATCATCAGGATTTCGTCGGTGAGGTTGCAGCCACAAGGTGTTTCAGAAAGAACGTAGAGAAGATTGAACTTGTGTTCAGTATAAAAACAAAAGGACGTGGACATTGGCCTTGTTAAAAAACGACAGATACCTTCGTTAAAAGTTAAGAAAAAATAAAAATTATATCAATACACCCGACCAAGTTAAAAATATTACACGTGGGGAGACATTTTGTTGAAACAATCGGAATTTTCTTTGGCAATGACTACTTCTCATATTATATTATATATTATGATATAGGGATACAAATTATAAGATAATCTCATTTATTTATGACTTGTTCGGAAGCCGAAGCAAAAGTGGAGATTTCCTTCGCAACTGTCACAATATATAGTAACTTTTAGAATTTTATTTTTTGGTATATCACCCCTCAGTTTTTATTATAACATCCTTTACAATACTGACTTCATGTGATTTTCCTTCTTTTTTTTCAGCACAAGTCGTTACCATCTTGTGTCAGCTTTTGAAGTAGACGGTAGATTAAACACATTATTTGTTGGGAATACGACTTTGGCGCTTTGGCCTGATAAACATTTTTCTAACATTTTGCTTGGCGTTTAAGGTGTTAAAATACACAAGATTATCTTGTTATCAATAAACCAATATGGACATACAAAATACAAATACTAAATTCATGTGCGCTCCCACTATCTAGATAAAATAAAGAAAACATTAAATAGTCTTGTAAATTGAACAATAATTTCAACTAAATTTGACTTCAATAACATAAATAAAATATAGAAAATCTAAGTTTATAATTACTTAGTGAAAAGTATTTATATCAATATAATTGACTAATGACAGTTCTTTTGTCCTTAACGAGTTCCCTATTGTATTACTAACACTTATCACTTGACAACAAATTCACTAAGAACCTGAGAGCAGTTGCAGCTGTTTTGCAGCCTCTTTTAAGAAATCTGCATTGTTGTTTCAGACGATTGTGTCGGCAATACTACAGAGTTTCTTTATTGTAATTTATGTGAAAATTACGTACCTGAGGGCGACTTCGAATAAAAATTTCGTAACTGATATTAATTTGTAATCTTAAACGATTGTTGATGCTAATCCTAGTCTAATGATTTGTCGATTCCAAGGAGCGTGCTGCCGGTATATTGTAAACAGCATGTAATATACCCGACCATTAAGGCACAAGTAAGGAAAACCTTCAACTGATTTTTTCTCCCAATTTGTAAATGAAACCCGATTAATCCGTCGTTGTATAAGCTATATTTGAATCCCGAAATTTATATTATACACCTCTTTGAATCCCTTCTTTTTTCACATGTGCGCAGCAATTGTTTGCTACAACACACCACGGAAATCTTCTAAGATGTATCCACAACTTAGGATCCGCTTCAGCTATATGTACTGTTACAAGAGAAAAAGAGAATATTATCAGTTTCCCACATGGTGTTCAAAATTGAGTATCGTGAACAAAAAAATCTGATAATTGCAATTTCCTTTCTTGCCACACTCGAATTTATTATAAAACAAGCAAGTTTTGTGAGCAAAGTTGAATAAAGGCACATTATTGTTGTTATTATTAATATTATTATTGTAACTGATGACGAGCCTACCATCAGTCGCCGTGAGCGGCGCTGTTCGAATTTCGCCTCCAGAGAGTAGTTCTCTTAGCTATGGATGCAGTAATTGTTCGTAGGTAGTAGAAAGACTGCGACTATCGAGAATGGAGGTACCACCCAGCAGATTCCCATTTCCACTGTATCTTCCTATAACCCCGCGGTACCAACAAGTATTAAGGCCTTAGGCTAGCGTGGTAGCTCAAGAATAATAAGGTTAAGTGAATAAGAGCTCAGAACGCCTAAGCTTACCAAGTGCCTTTTATTCGGATAAAGCACTTTGGAACAGGCAAATAACTAACTTGCTTCAGCAAAAGGGGCGGATTACCAACGTTTAATCGAGTTTGTTTGCAAAGTTGGACGAATACGATTAGAGTTAGCTTTTAGTCTCGTATAACTATAAATTATAAGTAATGCGGGTTATCGCACAGATACATATTACCATAAAGGGGGAAAGTCGTAAGCATCTCCCCTGGTTATGGTGGATTCATAGTTGTTACAAATTTAGTTGCGGAACACCTTTTATATATAGATATTCTGTCATATGGTAGGGTGCAGTTAAATGAAGTTTAATTCCAGTTTGTCCCAGCTAGCCAAAGGAGATGCCATGTTTCATATGGCGAATGGCTTCCGGAGGAAATGACTGGTAATTTAGTAAAGTGTTCTTCATACCAGTCTGATGAAGTCTCTATTGCACTCTTGTGTTGTAGCTCAATAAATTCGAAAAGATGTGAGCTTACGATGAACACATCACAACACAGGATTTATAGAGAAACTTCTCGTATCACGCTGCTAAATTTTACAACGAATGACATGACTTATCACTTATAAATTTCCTAAAAGAGAGTGAAAGACGTGAAATCGTTGATGCCGGCTCTGTTTAGGCTCTCCGCTTTAATTCTTTCTTCCACTTCTATTTTATTATTATCATTGAGGTTATTGGGACTGTATAAATATACAGGGTGTTAATACAGTATGTAGACAAACTTTATCCATCGAATCCTTGGTCAATTTGAAGACGAAATAGAACATGGGTCCGCAAAAATTATAAAAGAATGGAACGTTTTTATTTTAATTAAGTATGCCATGTGGTGAAAATCACATGATTTACAGTTGTTTTCAGACCCTCGATGTACGTAGATACGGATAATGTTATCCAGTATTTTTTTAAAAAATAGCATGACATTGATTTGTTTTGATCGCAATACTTTTAATATTTAAGCATTGTGCTTATCTAGACACCCTAAGTAGTACCCGAAAACAATAATTGTATTAATTTCTTTCCCCAAATAATTCGTGGCCTCTTTGAATATTTATTGTAAGAAAAACTATTCGATCTTTTCTATTGTTGTCGGTCTATCCGAATGATACTGTTCAGGGCTATTGATCCTCCAAATAAGTTTGTTTCCCAAAAATACAGGACAATACTATTAATTTTCATCCACGTTCACATTGAGCCTCAGCAACTTGTAAGACATGTAAAATTTATCATAGGTTATACCATCTGTTCAATAAATACGTTTCATTATTCATAGAAATATTTGGAGCATTGCTCGTATTTCTTTAGTGATAGTGCTCTAGCTCGAAAAAAAGTCGTTACGGACCCATGTTCATATGAACATTTAGGCCCGTATCGTCAGTCGTCCCTACAATTGTAGGGCGCGTTTATGGCCTCCTTGATTGTCATAGTTTTCTACTTCTCCGTGTCAGAGCTCTATTTTGATGTTATGTCACAAACATCTATTTGCATCAAATTGTGCTTGCTTTTGAGTTATATCATGTTTTCTCAGCCTGAAATTTCCTACAATTTAAAAGGACAACATATGTATCTTAACAATAGGAGAGCGCTGACGCTGACACGGGACGAGTGTAATCTAGAAATTTTCGAAGGAGAGAAAAGAGTATGATAATCAAGGAGGTCATAAACGCACCCTACAATTGTAGGGACTACTGACGATACGGGCCTTAGTCTTCAAATTGACCAAGAATTCGATGTAAAGTTTGTCTACGTACTTTATTAACACTTTGAATAATATGTTAGGCGATTATTACTAAGAAAACAGTATGGTCCATTTTCTTTTTTGTACAAATTAGACACTATATTACTAATTTGATGGTATAAAATCATTTCAATTCCCATGGAAAATTAATTCCGGTTAACGATTTACAAATAGATCGAGGAAGCATCAAAGTAGCTAGTTTGTTATGCTTTTCATCAACAACCAAAGAGATCATTACAGATTGCAAAATTAAGGGCTGGCTTGCTGTGACCCAAATGGATCTATTGTGCCTCCCATATACACTTTCTAGAGCACTGTGTCCAGCTTTGATCCTTCAGTCAGACTCCACGGCCTTGACACAGGGCTTAGCATGTTGCTTTCCGCTGTTGGTTGCTAATGTTGAATCAGTGAAAGTGTCACAGTGACACGGAAAAAGCTCTTCTGCCAGACCCAAGAGCCTCATATGTCGATTGGGGGCCGTATCGTCAGTCGTTCCTACAATAATTGTAGGATGCCTTTATGGCCTCCTGTATTTTGACAGTCTTTTCTCTGCGTCACTTTAGAAAGGCTGAGCTATTTCTATATTTCTACTGTTCTGTGTCAGCGTCAG